ATCTGAAATGCAACAACGGGGTCAGACAGAAAATATGATAACTGACACAGAGGTTGCTGCTTCCTGTGATGTGGTCTGTGGATGCCAGATGGAACTCTGAACTCCACACGATCAGTGTAATCACTATGTACTGGAAACGTGTATTAATAAAAAGCACCTTAGGATGCTTATTAGAATACATCAGGAATTATTAGTCTTATTAGAAAAAAGGAGACTCTAGCAATTCAGACTCTCAAGCCTCATCTTCCCCCAGCTGAAACAGAACCTGCATTTTTTTTTTAAAGATCCTAAGTGACTCAGACGCCCATTAAAGAAGAACCTGAGGTCTCTCACCCCTTGAGTTTAGCAAATCCTGGAGAGTTCTTCGGTTTTCTGGAATATGTGCCCCAATTGGATGACTTTGATCAATTTCTACTTGTGCAGTTACAAAACAGAGGGCATTTACCTGCTGTGTCTCCCTCCTAGGACTCCCGTGAGCTCACAGATTGTTCACTAGCTGTTTACTGTGCCAGGCCAGCAGAGGCTGCTGAGGTGCTGGGGAACAGAGCAAGAAGACGTCTGGGCACTGGGAAAACACGTGGCACATGCTGAGCGGCGTTGTGTGCCTATCATGGTTATCACAGAGTTCTCCCTTGCTTTCTCTTTGTGCATTAATTCACTCCAAGACCAGTCATTCATTAAAACTCTATGCACCTGCACCACATTAAGAACTGCACTGGGCGCTGGGCTCTGGAGAGGCAGGAGTGAAGGAGCCACCACCTCGCCCTCCAGGAGCTTTCCGTTTACAAGAGATGGAGATGACAGTAGATGGTTCCAGTTAGAAAGCAGCACGGCTGGCACCCAGATGGCAGTGCAGGGGTTCTGCAGGAGCACAGACGAGACACTAAGGGGCTTGGCTGCACAGGACAATCATAAGTTCATGTCCTGAGAAGGGGCAAAGAGCACTCCAGGTGGAAGGAACAGCAGCAGAAAGGCAGGGAGGCACGAAGGCACAGCACGTCGTGCCAGGATGGGAAGATGGGCAGAAGTTAGAGGAGGCCCTAGCGATCATTTCAGAGAAGTGGCTTGGGGCCGGATCTTGCTCAATACTAAGAAATCAGGTCTTTATCTGGTAGAAAACAGGGAGACCCTGAAGGAGAGAATTAACACAGTCATAGCTCTGCTCCACAAAGATCTTTTACCAACAGCATGTAGAAGATTTGGAAAAGGCTCTGACACTTGCCAGATGACAAAGTCCTCAGCTGGAAAGCTGGATATGGGGGTAGAAATCAACAGGAGACCTTCAGCAGGACAGAACTGATAGCCCGAGGTGACCACATGGCAGGGGCAGGGAAGGAGAGGCTGTGGGCTCTGTGCCTGGGTAGATGGTGCTGTTGCTAACCCCAATGAGAACAGGAGAGAGCCAGAGCCTGGGCCTGATGGGTCTGGGGAGTCCTCTGGCTTTGTCCAATAGGCAGGAGTCTCAGATGCCAGGAACTAGAAGAGCAGTCAGGTTGGACACAAGTACTTGAGAGATGAAGGTCAGTCGGAGGCATCGAGCAAATGGAGTTGTGAGGTGGGAGGAAAACAGGGTTAGAAGTGGTGCCAGCCCTGAAGGGCTTGGTGGAAAGAGCCCATGAAGAAAGCTGAGGGAGGCGAAGAGACACTTCTGTTTCCCTGGGTTCCTCTGGCCATGCGAGCAAATGTCCAGCGGTCACAGACAACCACCCACCACAGGCATGGCTAGGGGGCAGCCTTGGGGTGCCACTCCATTAGTCCCAAATTGAGGGGTGGCTGGGGCTGGGGACTGAGGTAAGGCGCGTCTCCTTCTCCCTGCCTTGTTCCTCCTGGAGCCAGGTAATGGCCAGCTCTTATGCAAAATAATGTAAGAGAAAAATGCTTGAGTTTGTTTAGTTTTTCAGATCCGACAAGGACCTAGCCCCTCCTAATGCCAAGAAATCCTTCCAGACTGTGTCCTGGGTTGACTCCAATGAGCTCATTCTTTCATTATCATTAAGAGCAAAGCAAGTCAGGTCCGATCATAATTAATCAAGAAGCTTTTTACCAAACAAAAGGAGATGGAGGAAATGGCCCCAGAATCGTGTTAAATCGTGTTATGCCATAGAAGCAGGGCTGTCCTGTGGCTTTCAACTGAGGATGGCTCTTAGCACCCAAATAATTGATCTATCTCTCGTTCTGGCCTAAGGGGAAAGTGAACTGGCCTCTCTAAAAGTGCTGGCAGCCTGACTGGTCTATTAGTAAGACCGAAAAATCAAAACATTGACTGGAAAAGGCCATTATGTCTGGGCTCAGAAGGAGTCATCGATAGATGACGTCACTTTAGAAACAACAAGCTAAGGTCATGAGGCCCCTGGGCAGGGTCAGACACCCTTCACAGACCAACACTGCCCCTGTTCATATATCCTGAGGTCTGCCTGGGGACACAGAGACCCAAGCCAGGACCTGTTTATCTTTTTGCTCAGCTTTGCTCAAAGCTGAGCAAAGGGGCGAAGGCTACCTGCAGAGCTTGTGACAGGTTGGCAGGTCATTAAGGAAGGCAATCCTTGCTGCCCAGGGTATGCCTCTTAAATTGTCTTCTAATCCTGCTGGCCTCTGCTGGGTTGTCTACCCTTTATCACACTCCTCCTTCCCAAAGCACCTGCCTCCTCTCTGTGCCCTGTCCCTCTTCCCTATCCCTTTCTTTCTTATCTAAGTTCTTGGAAAGAGCCGAGAGCCATTTCAGCTCCCAAGAGCTCCTGCCTCTGCCCCTGCCCTTCACTAACACAAATAATACTGGCCCAAGGTGCTGGGCTCTGGGCTGAGGGCTTTCCCAGCATCACCTCACTTACTTCCCATGGCTGCCCATGGGAAGTGGGTGCGAGCGTTAGCCCCATTGTAAAGACAAGGAGACTGAGGCTGGGCCATTGGCAGATCCTATGTTTAAATCCTCTGCCATGCTCTAGCAAAAGCCACCCATACCCCCTGCCAACTCTTATGCCTCTTTCCCAGTTCTTGCCACCCTCTTTTCTTCAGCAACTGTCACTGCCCACCTCTTTCCTTCTTGGTTCCTGGGAAGCCACTTTCTCCCACTCTTTCCCCACCCTTTCTTCATGGGCGGATGCCCCAAATTACACCCCTGGCATGTTTTATTCTTCATGCCAGAAGGTCTAACAAGGAAGTCTCTGATTCCAGCTCCGCTGGAGATCATCTTGTCCATCCCCTCCTTCCTCAAGGTCACTCTGGGTGGGCAGCAGAGCCAGGGCCCCAATGACCAGGCCAACCTACCTTCTACTGCTTGGAGATGACACTACCCACTCTGTTTTCTATTTTTGCTGAGCTGCAGGAAATTTCCCTGCCCAGGACTAGGGAAAAGGTGCGAGACTCTGATAAGGTGTGGCGGAGGCTATTTTTAGAGGACACCCCCACTTAGATGAGGGAGGAATCCAAGGGCCAGTGACTAAACCAGGGCTGTGTAAGACCAGCTCATTAGAGGTAATACACCAAAGTGACTGGGGTCCTTCTTTTCACTCTGTCTTTCTGTCGTGTAGCTTAAATTGAGAATTTTTATTTGGCATCATTTCCCCTTAGTTCTTTTAGGTATGAGGCTTTGAGTTGGTTTTAGAGAACACACATAATAGAACACACATAATAGAAACAAACAAAACTAGGATGAGAGCGCTTTTGCAAAGGAAAGTCCTGGACAGCAGCAAATCACCAAAGGGGGTGTTGGTAAGTTAGTTGCTCACAGAGCCCCAAAACCTGCCTTATGGAGGGAAGGACCAGAGAAAACAGGGAAAGGTGGTGGAGCCTACAGACCTAGTGTCCAGCTAGTGACCTTAAGCAGGGGGCTCTAAGGTCCTTCATGGACACAAGATGGTGCTCACTGGGGCAGACAGATAGGATCCTCTGGGTGCTCAGAGCCCAGCATCTGGGTTCGGTCTGACTCTTTGATTCAGACATGGAAGAACTTGGGCCATGTGGCCTTCAAGAGTCTCAGAGGGAAGGTTAGAGCAAGCATCCCAGTGGTAATGGTAGTGGTAGGTGGGATGGAGGAGAGCCATACAGAAGGGGAAACTGAGCCCAGGATGCCTTGGACTGGAATCCCTGGTCCTGCCTGTTTATAGGATCTCAAGCTGTATGGGTCACTTGCTGTTTTGCTAAAGCAACGCTGGCTACGCTGAACACCTTAGGGAGGCCCTCTCTGAGAGTGCACAAACCGCCCTATTCCCAGGGTCTAAGTGGGTCCCAGGACAGATCCAAGGCGGGGAAGCCAGGGCAGCCTCAGATTTCTGCCACCGCTCTGGCTACGCACTGCAAGTGCCGGCCCAGGGCCGGTGCACAGCGCGCGCCCCGCTGCTCCCACTATCCGGGTCCCTAGTTCCTTCCTAGGAACACAACCCTGGGGACACTGAGGTCTGGAGAAGGGTACGGGTTTTTCAAGGCCATCTTTCGAGCTGACCACGGCGAGGCGATTCCTGCCTCCAGGCTCTCTCGTTCGCTCCACCCGGCTGCACTCCAGCGTGCAGCGGTGCTTTAAGTCGCGTTGCCTCCAGCCTTTTCTCCACAAAACTTGGGAAACTTTTCTCGTCCCGGGTCGGCGCAGCGCGAACCCAGACTCCGCGTCCCGCCAGCACCCACGACCCCACTCCCGCGCCCCGGCTCTCCGCGGGACGGAGAGGCCGCGCCCGGGTGCCCGGCGCGGGCAGCACCTGTGCCCAGCCGAGAGCCCGCGGTCCCCCTGCGGTGACAGCGCGACGCGATGGTCCTAGCGGAGGGTGCCCAGGCCGGGGCGCGGGGCGGCGGGCACACAAGCGCCCCGGAGCGGAGCGCGGGACCCCCGACACGCGGGCTCCCCAGCCCGGAGCAACCCGAGGCGGCAGCTATTTATAGAGGGAGCCACGCTCAGTCCCTCTTGGCCGCGGCGACAGCTGAATATTTTGCCCAGATATGGCTGGAGCCCAAGCGCGGGGGCAGGGAGCCCCGCGAGCCCGAGGGGGACCCCAGGAGGGTGAAGAGCTTACCAGGGCGCGGAGCGGGGGCCGGCGCGGGCGGCGAAGGGGAGAGCGCGGGCGAGGGCGACTGAGCTCGGCGCGGGGCTGGAGGAGCTCCCGGGCGGCCCGGGCGAGCGGGCGGGCGGCGCTGTGCGCAGCGCGGGGGGCGGGGGACGGGGGGCGGGCCGGCTCCGCACTGTCGCCGCGCCCCGCCCTCCGCCCGCCCTGTCCGCTTGGGGGCGCCGAGGCTCGGCGCGCAGTCCCGGCCGGGGGGCGCCACCCCTCGGGCAGCGCGGCCAGGGCTGGGTCTCTTGCAGGCGGTCTCTGCCCCTGGTGGAGGTGCGTCGCCCGCCGGCTGGGTCTGTTTTCCTCCCAGTTCCAGAAACAGTTTGAGGGATGTAGAGTTAGCGATCTGGGAAAAGCGGGCAGGTTTTATTCCTGTGGGACCTAGAATTTTTCGGAGGTCCTCAGGAGGAGGTGCTCAGCCAGCCAAGGGGCTGCTGCTCCTTTGGGGCAGCCCAGCGAGGTCTGGCCTGAGCCCAAGCTTTAATATTGTAACATCACTTGGTGAACACGTAATTCCAACAGTCAAATGCATTTTCTCTACACCACACTGAGATAATGCAGCGTTCAAAATAAGGACTTAAAATACCACAACAAAAAAGTTCCGCCTTCTTAAAAGGCCGTTTTCCAGAACAAATCACTTCAACAGCAATTTTAAGTGTTTTAATAAATGGCACATGCAAAGGAAATTTGTAGGGCAGAGGAAAATGTCTCAGTCTGGAGTCTTAGGGGAAAGTTTTGAGTGTGTGCTGGGGGGGGAGGGGCTAATACAAGTCAGCTTTCAATCCTGGTTCTGTATGGAACTGACAGACAATTATTTTAAAATCATTTTCACAAAGATGTTTCTACGGAGTACATTTTTCTTTTTCTTTTTTTCTTTTTTTTTTTTTTTTTGTCTTTTTCATTTTTATCGGTACCGGGGACTGAACTCACAACCGCCTGCTTGCAAGGCAGGTGCTTATGCCGCTGAGCTAAATCCCCAGCCCCAGGAGTACATTTTTCAAAAGGCATATACTGAGACAGGGTTTTGCTATGAAGTTCAGGCTTGCCTTGAAGTCACTATGGAGCCCAGGTTGGCCTCAAACTTGTGGCAATCCCCCTGCCTCAGCCTCCTTAGTGCTGGGATTACAGGTGTGTGCCATCAGGCCCAGCTCAGCCATAAACTTTTCAATGAAAGTGTTAAGCTTCCTGAATTTTGATTTCGACCATCTGTGCAAACCAACTGTCAGTCAGAAAACGGTCAGCTGCTCAGAAGTCAACCTGTCTCTCCTGGGTCACCACTCCCTCCCACAGATGTTTTCTGGACCCGTTAGGTAATTGCTTTCTTGTATTTCTGCCTTTGTCTTCATTTGCTCAATGTTATGAGATTATATGTGATACTTCATGCACCTGTAGTGTTTTCCATCCTATGACTATACCACAATTTTTAAAAATGTGTTTTACTATTAGTGGACATTCAGGTTGCTTATCACAAACGGCACTCCTGTGAATATTCCCTCCCAGTGTCCTCCAAGTGCACACACTCATGGTGAATGCCTGCTGATTCCTCCAAAGGCTTTGTACAATACTATTTTACACATCAGTTTCACACCTTTACCACTTGTGGTTACGAAAAATTGAAGTAATGTAGCCATTTTGGTACATGAGCGTGGGATCACACTGGGGTTCCAAATGGCATTCCCTATAGACTACTGATACACATTTATGCTTATTTGGCCAGTTAGATTGCCTCTTTTGTGAAGATGTTGCTCAAATTATTGCCTGTTTTTCTCTGAATAGTCTTTTGTTTATATTCAGTATAGCAGTGGCTTGGTTCACAAACTGCTTTCCACGATTCTGGTTGCAAACCGAACTGGATGAGAACCAAGCCAAATTTTCCCGTAAGGTCAACATGGAACCTAATCATTAAATTTGATTGTCTTCTTGCCCAACTCAGTTTGCAACCAGAATATTTAAAAGAACTGAATTCGTAAGCTGAGGTACCACTGGAGTAGACATCTCTACTCCAACCTTCCACTTTGTGCTTTGTCTTTCTTTTTAGTGTCTTTTGATGATCTGGTGTTTTTAGCTTTAAAAATCTACCTCCCATTTTCTTTATCAGTAGTATTTTGTGTGTCCTGTTTCTTACCCTTGGGTTATAAAGGTTTCCCTGTGTTCTCTTCTGACCTTACCTTTCACGCCGAGGCTTCCAATCCACCGAGGGCTGGCTTGGAAATATGGGATGAAGTGGAGGCTAACTTCATTTGTTTGCCAAACCATTGCAGCACCACATTAAGTTTACAGTTATATCAACAAATGTAATTTTATTTTAAAAATAGAAACATTTCTAGTAAATCAAACAAAACCATTTTATCTTTACTTGTACATAATTTAAGGGGTTTTGCCTTTGTTGTTAGGGAAAGAGACTACCATAAAAAATATATGCTATTTTATTTGATATAAACATTTACAGGGCAGACTATTGCTATGGTTGATACATTGTATCGACTTGAGTTTACAATTTAGCTCAGAGACTCAACAGGCAGCCCAGATCCTCTGTAAATACCCTCAATCCTGTGCAAGAGGAAGACACAGAGATTTGTGAGTGCTACACCTGCCCTGGGGTGAATGGTGGCCTGTGCTCCATGTAACTGACAAGACTTATTTCCTCCTTTTTTGCTCTGGCTGCTCCCTTGAACTGTTGCCCCAGTGCCACATCACTCTGCCTTGCTGCCTGCTGATTATGGACTGAAACCTCCAAAAACTGTAATCTAAATAAATTTTTCCCTAATTTTGGGTGTCAGGTATTTTATCTCAGCAATGACAGGATAGGAGCCAAGACAATCATGATTCCTTAAATCATTGGCATAGGCGTTTTCAGTTTATATTACATACAATTTTTTAAAAGCCAGTGATAGTTACTATATGTGTAAAATGGAAAGTTTAAAACAACTGGTCTTTTTTATTTTTTCAAATAAAAACAAGTAAATTTTAAGCTCATCTCCAGCCTGGATTTTTCCTCTTAAAATACCCTCTGTATTTCTAGTAGTTTGTGTGTATCTTCACATGAAGTCTATTAGTTCAAGTTTAATGTGTTCAAAATCAGGGTTTTTTTTTTGTACCAGAAATTGAACTTAGGACCTCATGATTTACGCTGAGCAAAACAAGCTGTACCTGGGGCCTCAAAATCAAATTTTGAAACTTCCTCTCAAACTGGGTAAGGATCATCACTTTAGACCTTCAGACTTTTACTCCCCGCTTTGTGGACCTGTATATCTTCATATTCACCTTGTTGGCCAGAAAACAGTAATGGTGGGAACACAGACAGCAGTAAACTGTCAACCAGTACAAATCAGGGCTTGCCTGCCCCCTTCTGTTGGAACTGGTTTCACTTACCAGTATATTCCAGATGACTAAGACCTGTCACCCAACGGCTCGTCATCTAGTTAGTGCAGTTGGTACACAGACTATTAGTTGTTACTACAAAGTTCAGTGAGACCTGGGTAACATTAATCAATGTTCAAATGAAGTAGAGAAGGGCACCAGCGAAAGCTTCCCGGTCAGCCTGGAAGGTCAGACAAGGTCTAACAACAGGTGGTGGAAGAATGAGCTGCAGGCTGCCTGAAAGGCTGGAGGAAGCCAGCCAGCAGGGCAGCAGGTTTCAGGGTGTCAGCAGTCCTGGGAGAATACACATCGGGGGAAGGGTAAGATAAAGGTCCAGGGTGCTGCATCAGGATGTGGTGGACAGTGCTGGACAAGAGGACTGTTGACAACCTGGACACTCCGGGCAATGAGAAGTCCCTCTAGCCTGGGACTGAGGGGCCTGGTGCTTTTCCTGGCTGTGCCTGTGGTAAGGCTGGTGAGCTATGGACTCAAAGGAAGTCTTCACTTGCTTTGGAAAATAACCACCACACCAGGCTACAGCTAAGTCAGGAAGTCCTCAGCTTAACTGAAAACAGCCCAGTACTGCAAGGAACATAACGGAGAAGGAAACTTTCATTTTAAGATTATGATGCCTACAAATGACAAGGTGGACAGTTTTTATATTGATAAACTTTTTTATTCTAATATTATAGTAATAATTCAAGTATAATTTTCTTTGAAAAGTCAACTCTGTCAAAACAAAACTTGTTAACTATTTCTCATTAAACACTGGCATATTCTTTTCAATCTCCCACAACAGTCAGAGCCATGTAGCAGAAATAAGATGTTTTTAAAGCCTACTACATTTTGTTATTGCTAAAATAATTGGAATTAGTTGTCAAGGTCTCAGAAGCAATAATTAATTAACTTTTGAAGACTCTACTGGATACTGTGACATGAAATCATGAATCCAGGTATCAGTGTCTGGCAGAGATGTGTCCACTAGATAGAGCACTACTTTTCGGTCCCAAGGGACAGGATTTTCAATAACTTCTTGTACCAGTGCCACCAGAGGCTTCTTCTCCACATGATTTCGAAACACCATCGCAGCCTCTTCAGACCACTGGCTGCACTTCACTCCTTGGAGAAAGACAGAGAGTGAGATGCCTTTCTCAGATCAGTTTAATGGAAAACTACCAACCAATTCTAAAGTCGCTCACACATCCCAGGTTAGACCGCCTATGGTGGAAACAGCTGCTGGACACTCACACAGCTGACCACGCTGTGGTTTCTAGTCACTTCTGTAAGTGCTGTACTCACCAGTGCAAGTTTCACTTGACATTTGATGTTGTATTGTCATATGAGGTAATAATCACTACTCACATTTCGCACACTTAAGGTATTCAAAAACTTCATAAACTAATTCAGAAAAATTATCAGTGATATTGGTGACACTGATGACCCAAATGTAGTTTAAAAAAGAATTGTTATATGATCTATTTAGAGTGTCATTTGTAAGAAGGTATACAAAGTGTCACGGAAGGGGCACTGTGTTCAAGGGCAGGAGACCCAGTTACTGTTCTCTTCCCGAATCTCCTTCTCGCAGGCAGTGTGACCTGGGCCTATCAGGTGATCTCTCGGTCCTCACTGAAGAAACTGGTTGGACCAGATGAATTTTAAGCTTCATGCATCTCTAAATCCCTATGATTTTTTAATCTGAGAAGTCCATTTAAAGAATTTTTTGTGTGAACTTAAAACAAAATTGAGATTTAAAACATTTTAC